TCCTAGTCTATCTTAGTCTAGAAGCTCTGCAGAAACCTGTTCAGCATCACAGCAACATCCAAGACTCCAGTGACAGACAGGTGGTACTGGCCGGGAACTTTAACCCAGGTCTCTAGCACAAAAGGTGAGACTTTAACCACTGAACCGCTATTGCCCTGTGTTGTTGTTGTTGTTGTTATGTGCCATCGAGTCGGGCCTGACTCATAGCGACCCCTCCTTGGGTTTCTGAGGCAGTATCACTACGGAAGTAGATTGCCCAACCTTTCTTCCGAGGAGTGGCTTGTGGGTTTGAACCACCAGCCTTCTGGTTAGCAGTCAAGTGCCTTAGGCACTACACTACCAGAGCTCCCATTGCCTCATATCACACTAGTTACAGGCTTTCCTGCTAATTCTTTTTAAATTAGTGCTTTTGTAATAATGATGTATGTTATATACTGAATTGTATCCCTTAAAAGGATACATTGAAGTCTAATCCCTAAAACCTGTGAATGTGAGCCTCTTTGGAAATAGGATCTTTGAAGATGTTATCAGTTAAATTAACATAAAGTAACACTGGAGTAGGGTGGGTCCTAATCTAATATGAGTAGTATCCTTATAAAAGAGCTGCAGAGAGACAGAGGGAAGATGGTCATGTGAAGACAGGTGCAGATATTTGGAGTGATGTACCTGCAAGTCAAGGAAGATCAAGGATCACTGGTGGAGAGAGGCATGAAACAGTCTCCCTCAGAAGAAACCAGCACAGCCAAAACCCTGATTTCTCAGTGGGTTAGGGTAGGATTCATGGATTTGCATTTCTAACAAGATCGTAGGTGATGCTGATGCTGCATAAGGACTGTACTTAGAGAACCACTTTCCTGATTTCTCTAGCCTCCAGAACTGTGAGATAATAAATTTCTGTTCTTATAAGCCACTCAATTTATGGTATTTTGTCACAGCTGTAGGAGATAAATACAATAAATAAAAACTATGGCTATAGCCAGAAAGGGATTAGTAGGGCCAGAAATATGGATGAGTTAACACAAATTTCATAATTTCATTTTAAAAATCCTTTATTTGAGGTCATTCCTTTACTCAATTCTTTTGTAAACATAAACATAATAGATGCCACCAAACTGACAAATTACGATTTGCTTTCAAATCAATATATCTGTGATCATAATTTTCCTCTTTGAAGTGGGAAAAAGCTTTCAAAGGATTATTTTTCCTGGAGTCTTATTTTCCTAGTAGTAGTAAATCATTCAAATTGACTCAATCATATATTCCATTCTGCATCAATCAATTCCATATATATTAATGTTTGTTCTACACAGAGCCAAATAAGTTCTAAGTTAAAAATATTTCAAGATCTAAGTTGAAAACCATAATGTAAATGAAATAATGTAGAAGTCACAGAATTTATATTCAAAGTGCAAGAATATTCTGAAGACATATGCAAGTTGTTTTAATTGGGACATGTAACAAGCTAAATAGCTTGAAAAGCAATTTGTATTCAGTCTGGCCTCCCCAGCTCCCAGGTGTATGAAATAATCTTGCAGAAAGCATTTTGGCCTTTATTCTAGGTTCTTTAAGCTGTATCAACACCTGAGGCTAATAAATGGGGACTGACCAGACCAAGAGAAACCACCTGGGGGCCAGATGCTGACTAAACCTCACAAGGCATAAAATGGATCTTCCTGGATGGTGACCATGCATGGGATTGGGTAGTGCATCCTTCTTTGGGGCATGTGGGACCCCTTCGAGACCTAGCCTTGCGTGTCTCTCTTCACTTGTATCCTTTTTGGTTATAATAAATCTTTTACTATAAATATGGTGTATCTCCAGAATTCTGTAAGCCATTCTAGCAAATGAAGTAACACACAGGGGCAGTGAGAGCCAGCAGGAGCTAGTGTCTGCCTATTTGGCAGTCTGAAAAGTGTCCTTCTAACCTGTAAGCTCTGACCTAGCACTCAGTGGCTGGGATTTGAGAAATGCTGCATAGGGAGTTAGTCTGAAAAACAGTGTCCATGTAACTTGAGAGTTCTGACCCAGTAGCCCGGGAGCTCTGGTAGCATAGTGGCTAAGGCACTTGACTGCTAACCAGACAGCTGGCGGTTCAAACCCACTAGCCACTCCTCGGAAGGAAGGTTGGGCAATCCTACTTCCGTAGTGATACTGCCTCGGAAACCCAAGGAGGGGTCGCTATGAGTCAGGTCTGACTCGACGGCACATAACAACAACAACAACTAGTTGGCTAGGGTCAGTGAGAGAATGTGCCAGGTAAATGGCTGGAGGCAAGGATGGAGCAGTTGGAAGGTAAGGATTGGAGATTAGGTCTCTGAAGTTAGGGGATTAGATCATGCTTATCCTTACCACACAGTTAGCAATGAGGGTGGGATTTGTCCACCATGCCCCTGGTTTAGTGCGCTAGCATATCTCAACTCCAAAGAAGGAATAAAGGAGGCATTAAAGAAAGTAACAAGACATAATAATAAATGGAATCACAATGGGAACCATAAACATTATTTTCTGAAGAAATCTGGGTTATAAAAATAGTATGTTGCAGTTGTTATTGTTGTGTGCCATCAAGTTAATACAACTCATAGCAACTCTGTAAAACCATGTTTCTTGAGTAATTACTGTTCCTAGGAAATGAATGGATAAAACCATATAATTGGTTCATACAAAGGAAAACAATGAGACACTTGGTAACATATTAAACTGTAGAATTGTATTAATTCTCCAATAATTGGATTAATCACACATTTCTCCTAAATGGTTTCACTATTAATATTTAACATTTGTTAAAAAATAATCAGTTACAAAAAATAGAGTTTAAGTAGAATAATTCTATATTTAAAAAAACCTTTTATTCTAATAAGGAATATGAATACCTCCTAAGTATTCAATAAATACTAAATTAACATAATTAAAATCATCATATAAATGATAAAAATAAACAATACAAATTTTAGGATAAAAATATGAACTTTGAGAGAAATAGTTGATGGTAAGTGTGGTATAGTAAATTACTTTGTGTGGCTTTTCTACCCATAAGTCTTTGTAAACTCCAAGGTGGGATTTGCTATGAGCAACTGAGGAGCTC